CAACGAAACGACCTGCAGTATGATAAACGAAACAGTAGCCCTTGTACCAATACTATAGGGGCCTTCATAATTAGAATACGGTTTGCGGGCCAAAAAACTATATATAAAAAGAAGGCCAAAACCAGCATTGGCAATTATAAAGGCCCCTATCCGAGAAGCTCCATATATAGTACCATTATGGAATTAGGTCCCAAAAGACCATCCATATCATGGCTTTGGGGCCTAACTCCATAATGGTACTATATATGGAGCCACTAGGTACATTACCACTATCCCCCGAGCGACCTCCTCCGAGGCATCCGCCAACTGGACGGCGAATCGCCGTGAGGTTCCATAGCCTGACAGAGTTTTCGGATGTAACGTGGGGTTATACTGCTGATGGACAAAATCCTGCATTACCCCAAGGACTCTAAACTATGGGAATTATGGTCTGTTCTTTCTTATGGGTAATGCAGGATTTCGTCCATCAGCCGTATGGGAGTTTCCGAAAATTGGGGGTACCTTATCTTAGGGTGCTTATTATTATAAGGGTCCTACTAGATCAGGGTCCCCTATTTTCGGAAACTCTCATATAGCTAGAATAGGGCCTCGGGGTACGCGGCTGAAGCTCGAAAAGAAAACTCGGAGCGCCAAATCTCCGTTAAGCCCTCAAAAAAACGCTTACACCTTCACAAATGCCGGGCAACAAAGGCAACAAAGTTGACAAGAAAAACACAGCTTATATAAGTCACGAACCTCCGTAGCTAGTTTACACAATCCTGGAAAGTTGGGAAGCACGGTCACTGCAGCCTATATACCTGCTTAACCGAAGTCTTGCACCACGACGCAGACAACCACCGGCCATGATTGCAAGCTGAAGCCTTGTTCCCTGGGGCCCGGGCGATACTGTGATGCCATCCTCCGCAAGTCTACACACCAGCCTGCAAGGGCAACGACTACCCGGTTTGTAGCAGGTGCACAAGGAAGGACGGTGTTGACATTGCCTCTCATGGGGTCATGGGTCCTCCCTAAACCCTGAACATCTCCGAACCCTAAACCCTAAACCCATAAACCCTTAAACTCGTAAACCCTTAAGCCCGTAAACCCCATTAAGCTTGTGGGGTTCAGGGTCTTGGGGATGCACGGCCTTATAGAGGCTCAAACAATCGCCAATACTACGGTTAATGATATAAATCCTGCATGACCCATAAGGACCTAAACTATGGGAATTATTGTTATGGGTCATGCAGGATTTATATCATCAACCGTACCACCCCTGTCCTTACTATTCGGTCCAATCAAGGAGATCCCAAAACACAGATGGCAAAAAGGTATTGCTGGCAAAACTAGCTCTAGTGTACATACATCATCAATGCGTGGAATTCTTCAGGCCCTCTACATTATGCTAAGTGGGGCTTTGCAGCAACGGTAGTCACAACCCGGAGTGCTTTCCGGGATTCCGAAACTCCAAACCCCTAAACCCCCCAAAGCCCTGAGCCCCTAAGCCCTAAACCCTGAACCCCCAAATCAGAACCCAGTCTTGTGCTGAAATCAGAAAGTTCAGTGTTTCGATGTTGGGGTTGCTGATTCTCAGAGGGTTCAACTTCGGGTCGAACTTCTATGCTTCTTAGGGGAAGCCTTTTCCGAAAGGCTCTGTTGGAGCTTGCCGAAAGCTGAAAGCTCTGGGGACGGGGCGGATGGACACGCCATCGCCACTGTCTTCGTAGTAGGTCAGCAGCTCGCCCACACTGGGAAGCGCCTGCTTCGTTTCATGCGGCCCTAGGAAGTCTCGGGCCCAAGGAAGTCTCGGGCCAAAAAAGGGATCTTCAATTGCTATACAGTAGGAGGCTTAATAATTAGAAGAGGGTTCCTTTAAAGGGATCCTTAAACGGGCTAGTGTAAAGGATCTATAAGGGTACTACAATATAGGGGCCTTGATAATTAGAATAGGGTTTTGGGGCCCAATATACCATAATTGTCATAAGGAACCACCAAAATAGTATAGGTAATTATTACGGCCCCTACATTAATCAAATTGGGGTCTTGGGGCAATCTATACTATGAACCAACTTGAGAAGCAGCCCCTATCTTGGATAGTGCGAGCTACATGGGCTGGATTGTGGTACGTGTTTATCCGACCTAATTGCTTGCGGCTGGTCCTGTTTGGAGATGGTTTCCGTATGCTGCTGAACCCCATAAACCTCTCCTCCGAAAAGAACCCTGAACCCTAATCCCCGTAAACCCAGACTCTTTTCCGAAAAAAACCCTAAACCCTAATCCCCATAAACCCAAACTCTTTCCGAAAACAAACCTAAACCCTAAACCCTGATCCCCAAAACCCGTCTCAGTCTTTTCCGAAAAAAACCCTAAACCCTGATCCCCATAAGTCCAAACTCTTTTTCCGAAAACACGCTGAAGCCTCTTAGTCCATAACCCCTGAAGCAGGATCATCAAACAAGCTTCCTCGGTAGTCCCTTTATAATAATAATAAGGGTACACTTGTTCCTACCATTCGGTTTGAATAAGGGGACCCTAGAGCAGAAAGGGCAAAAGGGTACTACTCAGGAACCTCCTAGCAAAGGTGTGCTTCTTGCTCTGTGCATCCGGGGGCGGGATGTCTCGCGTAACTCGACATATAGTCCTATCGTTGTCATGGTGAGTTCTGTCTTATACAATCGCTCGACAAGTTGCCCTGATTTTCAGCGACTTCCCCATCATCCCAGGGGCTCCCAAGTATCTCTACATATATACTAGAACGTAAGGTTTCTAGATTAGCTACTAGTATGGTTTGCGGAAATATCACCCTTATATTACCCTTAATAAGGGTCCATGTACCCATATAGAGATACGTGGGCCCCAAAGTACCTATATAGGGACTACATCAAGGCCAATGTATCTACTATATGAGTACATGGACCCTTAGGGTTAGTACCTAGGACCCTTTGGGCATGAACATAATTGGGAGTTTCGGAAAATTAGGGGTACCAGGGTTAGTACCTAAACACTAAACCCTATAAACCGTGTGAACATATTTATTCTCGAGGCCTGGGGCATGGTTGCCACGGCTCCCACGGGGCCTACAGGCCTTGGCACCTGGGCGAAAAGCCGGTCGTATGGGCTCCGGGCTTTAGGGTTTAAGGTTTAGGGTTTAGGTTTAGGGTTTAGGGTTTAAGATTTAGGGTTTAAGGTTTACCTTAATCCTGAATGACCTACCTTTTTAGGGCTCCTGTTTATGAGTTCCTTATACAAGTCCTATGACCTACCCTTTTAGGGTTCCTGTTCATGATATCCTTATATAAGTCCTTGGAAAGGTAGGTGATTCCGGGTTAAGGTAGGGTTCAGGCTTTGCTGAACCCTGCACGGGACTAAGGTTTGGGCTTTGTCCTGCCGGGCCGACAACCGAGTTGGTTGGCGTAGGCGTTGGGGCATGGCATACCTAAAGGCTTCCGGCTGCAATAGTGTCCTGGTTTAAGGGTTATGCCCTATAGTTAAGGGATCATAACCTACTATTTTGTGGGGTTTGGGCTTCAGGGGCTAAGCGACCATCACATCTTGCTTGGGGGTTTTACTGCTGCGTGAAGCTACAAGTTTGGAGAGATCAAGATTGCTTCTCATTAACACTGTTCTGTTTTCTACAAACGCGATAAACTCTACACCCTCCAGCGTATTCAGAACGCGTATGTTTTGGTTGGTTTGTTTGCTCGTTTGCTTTGCTTTGCTTGCATGCATGTACAGACGTATGACACATACCTGCACTTAAATTCAAGACTTCGAGGGACAAGAGTGCTGTGCTTTTGGGGTTTCGGGTTTAACGGCATCTCGGGTTTTCGGTATTGGAGCGATTAGGGACAAGGCTTTTCTCCGATGCGACTGCTTGAGGCAGGCTTGGCCTGCGGCATCCCATGCCAGACCAGCTCTGCCATCATGTCTCCGACCTCAGTATACCTTCACAAGTACTACAACGAGTAACGTTGCTCATGCTTCTGCAAATCCAGGTTATTTCGATGTCTACAATGATACAGTTTACAACCTACATTTAGTTGTAAGGTATCCTATGATTGGGAAATAGGTCTAACTTTATGAGCTGAAATCTAACAGCACTTACCCTAAACCCCCAAACCCCTAAACCCTAAACCCTAAACATCCCTAAACCCTGAAACCCTAAACCCTAAAACCCTAAACCCTCAACAACCCTACACCCCAAAGCCCCAAAGCCCTATGCCAGCTCAGAGCTTCGCGAAGCAGTCAAGAAGTTGCGTTGGGGTTGGGGGCTAAAGATAACCCTTACGTACTAAGTCCCATGATCCCCATTATAGAACCCCTATAGATCCCTTGAAGGAACCCTATTGCTGGACTTTGAAGTAACCAGGGAGAAAAATGTGGACTTTTATTTCATAATGGTTCCTTTAAGGAACAGGTACCAAAAAATGTATTCAAGTATGGTACTCCAAACCCAGGATGATTAGAACCCTGTAGTACCCATATTAAACGGAACCATAGACCTTACAGTCTCATTCAAGGGGTCCTTCGGTTGATGATATAAATCCTGCATTACCTTAAGGACCCTAAACTATGGGAATTATGGGATATTCTTATTATGGGTCATGCAGGATTTATATCATCAACCGTTCCAGGGTTCCTTGACGGCTCTCGGGGTTGAGGACGACAGGTTGTAGGGCTTAGGGTCTAGGGTTTAGGGTTCAGCTTGCTTTTTTTTGAACCCTCTTGTCCTAGGGTTCAGCTTGTAGGGTTTAGGGTTTAGGTTTTGCGGCTGGGATTGAAAATGATTGGGGGTCCTCGTGGCTTATAGTAGTTACTGGACTGAAGATGCTACAGAGCTGAGGAGACTGAGGCAGATGCGTGGCAAGGAAAAGTACAAACCAGAAGGAGTGACCCCACTCACCAGCACCAAATCTACGGGCCGAAATAGTTACCAATACTATCTGGGGGTTCCTTATGGCAATTAATTATAATACATATTATACGCCAAAACCCCAATGACTAAGGCTAAGGCCCCGCAATTACATCGCAGAACGCGTATTGGAAACAGCCTGCTCCCCCTTCTCACATGCATTGATGGCAGCATTGTAGGTGATCGCATTGACCTGTACCTGGCAGGTCTATCTCCCGAAAGAGCAGAATGACCAAAACCTCAAACCGTCAATCGCGGAGCCGCAATTCCACCTCCTACATCCGTGTCGGTGGAAGCTTTTGCTTCTGAACTTGCAGTTGAGGGAAGGTCGGTCAGGATCTCGGGTTGAGTTTAGATCGTGTGTAGGCTTTCGTGTGTTTGCGGCGGGGCGTCGAAGATTAACCCATCATACTTCATCCCGGCGTGTTCCTTTACCTCTGGCTCCTCCCAAATGACCGCATCTAGTGCTACACAGGCTTTGGGGCTTCAGGGCTTTGGAGACCAAAGCATCAAACCCTCGCCTGGTGTCGTGGCAGCTCCCGGAGAAAGTGTCCAGCCCACTGCCACTGATCGCCCTGGATGTCACCGCAAGGGCTGCTGGGTGTTTATGATTCGGGGCTTTTCGGCTGAAGTGCCCTGACACGTTCAGAGAGCTTCTTTCATATGGGTGGTTGCCAAAATTAGGGATTACATTAAGGACCCAAAAGGGGCCATAATTTTGACAACCACCCATATCGTAGATTTTACCTTTGTCCACGGCACTCCGCATTTTACCAAAGCGACCCTACTTAGGCTCATGGGACTTAGTAAGTAAGGCTATAAGTAGGTTATGATTAGGATAACCCCACTTAGGGGACTTATAACCCCAATTATAACCTACTTACTAAGCCCCATGATCCTTCAAGTACCCAATCTGCGGTATGCAGGCTGGGATCTTCGATGAACACGCAGCTGGGCCCGTGGCCATTCTAGCTCTAAAGAAATTTTAGGGCTATCCTGCTGTGGGATGTAGTGAGCTCTAAAGAAATTAAGGCTATCCTGTTGTGGGGGCTATGGTGGAATTAAGGGTTGAAACTCTTCAAGGAGTTCGATGTTTGCATTGGGGGCTCAGCTAAGGACTGGCCATGTAATTTTGTAGAAGCTGTAGTCCAGGCGAAGAAGACCAATCAGGTTTCAAACAATTTCAGATCGCCTGATGCCTACCTATAGTCTCCATCGTAGTTCCTTTTTTGGTTATCCAATTTTATGGTTAGGACCCTATAATAGAGATTTTGGTTAACCAAGAAAAGGAACCACAATGGAGACTATAGGTATAACCTAAACCCTGACCCCTCCGGACTCCGTATTCAATGAGCCCTAAGACTCCTAAGACCCTGAGCCTTAAGACCTGATAAGCCCAACCCCCCAAGCCAACAGCCCTTGATATCAGGGAATCTTACGAGACTATGGCTTCTTATTGTGATTTGAAGTCTGTTCTGTAAGCCCTGCACCCTAAACTCTAAGCCACTCATTAAAGGGTAATTATTGGACTCTCTGCGAACTTCTTACCGGGGCCACCTGCAGCGCATGCATGCGGCTGGCCTTCTCACAGGAGCTGATCGTGGCACCGCAAGATATCACCTCACGTGCAGAAGCCGGGCTTGTGGTTTAAAGTATGGGCGTAGTGTCGAAAGGTTTACTGCACATCTACATCATGACCCCGTACACCCTAAATCTCGTAGGGCATGGGGCATCAGTACACCGGAACGTTCGCCATCAATCCGTCCCGGCTTTCGTCTACCCTGCAGGCGGCTGCCACTCCGATTGGCAAGCCGAGACCAAAAAGGCTCTGGAACTAATGGGTGGTTGTCAAAATTATGGTTTGGGGCTTAGGGTCCCTATTATAGTACGGCACCTATGAACCATAATTTTGACAACCACAATAATATCTTTTGCCTAAGGCCACAGAAAATGCTCCCTATGATTCCGAGGCACTCACAACCTTACTTGAAGGCTCATGGATAATCCTAAAGATGCTTAGTTATGCCTTACTTGCGGCCACAAGCAGTTATAAGTGTAAAGCTGTCTCATACGACCCTAATTACCAATCTTTCGAACCTATTAGAGCCCTAAACCATATTAAAACCCTAACCCCCAAACCCCCCAAACCCTAACCAGAACCTTTGATAAGCGGAGCTGCGCCGACCGGCGCAGCCAGAGTGCAAAGAGAGTCCGCCAGTAAAGATAAAGCCAGGATCCATCTTCCAGACTTTTCCTTGCAGCTTGCTAGGGGTTTAGGGCTTAGGGTGTCAGGGTTTCGGGTTTTTGAAGGGGTACTAGGCTTCTTCCAAGGGATCTACATGATGGGGTTCGGGGTTTATGACTTCTCGTCGTGGATTCCGGAGGCTGAAGACTTCAATGTTCGGACGTGATGCACAGTTTTTGGTCTGACACTTTGCCTATGCTGGTACTGCATGGTATTTTGCATGACCTCTTTCGATGCCCAAAAACGCCCCGCCAGCAGATTTCGCTGAAAGAGCCACCCTCGCAAAGAAGGAACGGCGGCATCCCACCTCAAAACTTCTCAGAGTTTGTGCCGCAGACCTCTCTCACAGCTTATCGGGGTTCTTGTTGCGGAGCTTAAACAAGTATATGGCTCCGTGGTAAGCTAGGTGGACTTCTCTTTCTTGACTTCGTGTTCAGTCGTTAGGGGTTCTCCCGAAGTAAGCCTGCTAAAACTTAACCTGCTAGAACTTCAACGAAAAGCCTTCAACATACGAGTTCTGGGAATCTATGCCCCACACAGAATGTGGGTGTGATAGGTTGAGGTCCGGTTTCTTCGCTTCCTTGGGCAGTTGCAGCCTTCATCTGGGGGAGTCTGAAACAGCGTTCAGACAAGGGTCAGCGGCCGATATCCCAGCGTTGAAGGCCACGTCGTTAAGTTGACCGGCATGTTCCTACCCAGGGGCCCAAAGTAGTTCCTGTTTGGGTAGTAAATTAGAGTCCCTAATCATAAAAGAGGACACGCCCAAAAAGGAACTACTTTGGGGCCCCTGGGTAGCCGGCATTCTCTTGCATTTTGGGGGTTCGGGCTTTGTGGGTTGAGGGCTGCACTGTTTAGTAACTGCACTTCGCGACATCTGCACCCTGGTAGCAGATGGTAGCAGCCTGCCACAAATAATATAGGGGGCCTTAATTTTTCGAATGGGATTTTGGCGCCCATTAAGCATTATGTAAAACCAGGAGCCCCACAAAATAGTATAGGTAATTATTAAGGCCCCTCTGGTAGCACCGTGATTTATTGGTTTCTGCACGACACCCTCCGCTTCCTTCGCCCAAGACCCACAAGGCAGGAGGAGAAGGGTTTAGGGTTTGGGGTTTAAGGCTTACCTATAGTCTCCATTGTAGTTCCTTTTTTGGTTATAACCAAAATCTCTATTATAGGGTCCTAACCATAAAATTGGAGACTATAGGAAATTCCGGAGCCCTAAGACGTAACTCCAAAAGCCTACGCTCTAATCTTCACCCGGAGCAAGAAACACTCTGCGGGGTTCGGGGTTAAGAAATTTCAGATGTGGGAGTTCCCGAAAATTAGGGGGTACCTGATTTTGGGGTCCTTTTAATAAGGATCCTACTATTTAGGGTACTATATTATGGTCCCCTATTTCTCCCATGTATGAGACACCTACAGGACCCAATGTTCCACAACAAGGCAAGCTTCGACATCTTGCGACGAACATGTCAGATGTACTGTGGCTGCTTGAATTCCGTTCCTATTCTGAGAACATGAACCCGTGATAGCAACGCCCTACGGGAAACCCACACGCAGAACAACAGACAAATGGTAACTTTTCGGCAGAGGCCCAGGAAATACGAGAGTCCCGCTCCGTCAGGTTTATCATTACGCTACCAGAACTTATGCGCGTTTAGAGTCTGAACGAAGCCTCGTATATAGGCCGTCATGGAGGCACTACAACGAGCAAGTAGGTGGTGATGGTTTGGGCCAACATAGAAGCCTGAACAAGCAGACAAGCTTTTTGGGGGAGAACCCGAAACGTACTAATTACATCTAACTACCTGGTTCAAGTGATTCTTATCCTGGGATTCGGGGCAGCGCCCATCCGGCCTGGAAGCTTGACATCAAGGCCATTGCACGTTGCCACTGCTCACCTCCGCAGCCATTGGGCCATCAACTCTGTGTACCATAGATAGTTAATTCGAAAAAAGCATTATGACTAACTAATGATCAAGACACGGACATAATTGCATAGCTTCAATAGCAAACACACCACCAAAGAGCTTAGTTTACATTACTTAACATTCTAAAAGGCTTGTAGAGTGCAGGAGTCCACTACCGCTTCAGTCTCGTCTCGTGCTCATCGTAGAGCCCTTATTTCTGCGTCCGACCTTAACCATCTAACGAAGGGGTCTTCCTCAAGGTTCCCTATGATAACCATAGTGCAGTTTTCCCCCATAACCCTATCCTCACAGTAGCACTGCTAGATCCCAAAGCCCGAACCCTTTGCCTTTGAATGTCCGTGCTCGAAGCATCACGGGTTCTTACGTCATGGGAATTACGGGAACTAAAAACTTGGAAATTCGTATTCATAAGCCCGACGATTCTCAAGTACGTATGTAACCATAATGCTATACCGACTATACCACACTATGCCTACAGCTATCCATGAACCCCTGAATCAATCTCACAAATGCCCCGCGCAACAGGACAGTTCCTTGAATCCAAGCCCCGCTCGTAGCTTTCGAAATCCCTCGAACATTCTTCCGGAAGCCCGAAAGTCTCCCAAAGCAGGTCAATACCCTAAACCTTCACCTTAAGTATTAAGGGCACTAACGGCCTCTACGTGTCCCGGCCCCAAACCGTCTCGCCTGTAAACCATAACCCTAACTCCCCAAACCCTTAAGTGCTAATACGCTCGAAACCCTAAACCTTACAAACTCAAACCTCTACACCCTGAACCACCGAGCCTAAACCACCAAACACTGGTACCCCTAAACCCTAAACCCCGAAGCCCCTAAACCCTAAACCCTTAAAGGAACCCTTACCCATATAGAACCTCAAAACACTGCCCCAACGCCTCGCCCGCAGGCGCTGATGGCAGAGCTGACAGAAATCACGTCGGCGCGAAGCTGTGCAGAGCGGAGACATGCAAGAAGCCTAGGCATGCCGGAGCGTGATTACTAAGGGCTCCTTTAAGCAAGGCTTATTTCCTTGCAAGCGATCCTGTGAGGATGTTAGGACGGGCTCTGGCATGGTTTCATAATGTGTTCTATGCAAGTTTGGTTGCTCTGTAGAGGTTTTGGGGCATACGGGTTGCACCAGGAAGGGTCTCGAGCCCACAAAAGTCAAGTCTTCCAAAAGCTTTAGCAGATGACCCAAACAAACAGCAGAAACTATACCCCTGAAGCGGAGGGCAACCTATAAAGTCTTACCCTAAGGGTCCAAGTAGTTTCTATTTATGGTTTCTGGTACCTAAAAAGGCCCTAAAGTCCTACAATAGGGAGTACTTGGACCCTCTGGGTTATTGTTTTCCTCAGATTTCTCTTATGGAACCTGTAAAAAAACCACAGAGACAGAATCCTGAGGCTTCGCCACCAGGCTGCTCCAAAGCGTGTGGCCACTGCTCGCACTTCTCACATGCACTGATAGCTGCATTGTAGGTCGTCACCTCAACCCCAAAGGCTCCATGTGCCTTGAAAGTAGATACTTAAGCCTTAAAGGGGTCCCTATATAGGTACTTTAAGGCCTAAGTATATACTATATGGGTACATGGAGCCTTAGGGAACAATCCCAAAGGGTTCTAACTACTTTGGCTTCTCTGTCAGGATTGACGAATAGATTTTGCGCAAGTATCCTCAAGATAGATGGCTGCTGATGACGACCACGAGAGAGCGGGGCACTTCAAGTTTTTCAAGGTCGTAGAGTTCACGGAACAGCGTCATTCTTGCAGCCTGCTAAACCCTAAACCCTAAACCCTAAACCCTAAACCAGGCGTCTCGGCTCAGGGGACTATTCCGGATTGGATAGCCCCTGCCGCGTTGACCCTGTGCGGCTGATCCTTTGTGACAGCCCACTTTGAGATCCGGTGCGACCCGCAAGGGCACCGCGATCCCTCTTCTCCATCTACTTCCAGGCCTGGTTAATCGCTGCTGTTAAATCGGCCGATTTTTTCCTGACTTGGTGGTTTATGGTTGGTAGAGCGCCCTTGTTTGGGCTTTTCTATTCTGTCCTCGCGACCTGCGATACCACTGTATTTCTGTACAACGAGGTTTCGTGTGGAGGAGACAGGGGCGCACCGCAGACAGCGGCGGCGCCGTACAAGAGCGAGGACCCGGCTGCGTGGAGTGCTGAGCGGACACCTTCCTTGGGATTGGAAGGCCAAACAGGCGCTGGCACATCTGGAAGGCCATCACTCGCGGTCAGAGCTCCCACAGGCTGTGAGGCGGCTTGTGTGGTTGCGGCTTCTTCGCCGCAGAAATTTCACGATGTCTGCTTGGAAGTGCAGTGTCTGCAAGCAGATGTGCCGGGCGTCTGCGAACTTTTGCCAGGGTTGTGGGGAACACTGGCAAAAGGTCGCAGTTGTGGATGCCCCGGACAAACGACAGAAGAGGACAGAGCCATGGGACCAGAGAGGTCAAGGCTACCCGCGTGGCTGGAGACAGCCTCGCGAGAGGACGGGCCCCTCCGCATCTCCTCGACGGCGTGGCGGAGGCAAGGGAGGACATCCGAAGGGTACCAAGAGTGCCGAGCAACAGCCCGGCAAGGGCAAGCAAGGGCATCCCACTGGTGCCCCGGATGTTGGACAGCTGCCGGCCCCTCCAAAGACAGGGAAGCCGAATATGCCACCTCCCGGCGACAGTCAAGCGAGCTCTTCTGCCCCGTCGGAAGACAGGCGTATGCTGGAACAGCTCATGGCCCAGCTGAGTATAACAGGAACGGAGCTTCCTGCCGGTGTTGCTACCATGGTGACGCAATTTCAAGCGGAGAATCACCGCTTACATGGGCGACAATTACATCAATTGGTCGCCAAACAAACTGCAGCACGAAAGGAGATCGCACGACTCGAACAGGAGGCCAGCACTTTCGAGAAAGCTTGGACCACCTACATGGAGAAACTTTCCCAGTTGATCGAACAGCAGATGGAGGAAAGACAGCAGCATGTCGCTGCCAGGGAGGCTGCTCTCAGTGCCTGGCATGCGCAGCTGACAGAGGCGACCAATCAGTTGGCCGCCCAGGCGGGAGCTACCTCGACGGGCGAAGCGGACATGGACACCGCCGAGGACATGGTCAATCAGGCCATCGAGGACGAGGCGGAGCAGTGCCGAGCCAGGGAGCAGGCCAATCTCCGCTTCCAGGCTATGCTACAGATGCTACAGCAGCAGCCTGGCTTGGTCAAGGGACCAAGAGAGGGCTCTCGGACACCCAGACGACGCAAAGGCGACGAGGCCGAAATGATCTCTTCGCGAGAGGCCTCGCCTTCTGGACGGGATGGATCTACGAAGGTCGAGGCGGTGGAACCTGGGGATGCCAAGGCATCTGGTGGCAAGGGGGTGACTGTCACCAAAGTCCCTCAATAGGCTCCTGTTGCAGCTACACGAGTGCACAGGAGCCAAGCCCGGTCGGAGTGGTACCATGGAGCCACTCTGTACACTCCGACCCTTCCTGTGTGAGTCCCTTTCTCGCACAGTTGATTGCGCTACAAGCTGAGTTCGATGTCGCTACCGAAAGCGCATCCGGGGTGTTCCAATGCTTGGTGGATGATCGTATCGAGATCGCACTTGAGCAGCCGGTTGCTGCCTACCTGGACCCGCTCGATGGGGTTGTCTCGAGCCATGCCGGATGGGACTCTTTCCGGATTCCCAAGGAGCGCATGGGGAAGCCCTTGGTCGAGTCTGAAGCGGAGAGCCACCTTGCGAAGACTGAGACTGCTCTGGAGCCGGACGTCCTGGTAGGTCAGCTTCCAGTGTACCTTAGTGTACAGGAGTCAGGTAGGCCGTTGTCGTGCATGCACACATGCCGACACACTTTCCCTTTGAAGGCCTCTTTTGCCGATACCCAGCACCCGGTCGAGGCCTGGGCCTCTCGCTGCTACCGCCATGCTAACAGTTGCATAGCACGGAACCTCGTAGGTCCAGTTCAGCAGGCCCTTCTACACTACCGCCAGGACAGATCCTCTTCCGGGTCGAATGTTCCCTCCTCCGTTCCTACGGAGGTTTCCTGCCGGTTTTGCATGCCGTGCGGTTACAAGGACGGTTCCTGTCGAGCCTTGGCCACACCCACAGCAAGACCTGCTGCCCCTCGGCTTGGAGGCCCTTCTACCATTGAACCTGCGGCCACCGCCTGTGACACGCTTGAGCTCCTTGTTACTCAGGTCCGAGTGCAGCCGGCTCACCTTGATGAGCCAGAGGTCAGATGCCAACCCCTGTCGACATTTCGCTGGCATCAAGGTTTTAGGGCCTCGGGAGCCGATGATCAAGGGTCACAATATAACAGGTATGTTGCTTTCAGCACAACGGACCATGCAACGGTTCGATCATTGCCTGGCACTGGATCTCTTGATGAAATCATCTTTGACTTGGTCACTGTGTTTCCCGGGCTACGACCCGTTAAGCTGCTACAGCAACGCCTGGTCGGATACCCGGCAGCGCAATTCGCTATCGCTACTCGAGAGGACCTGCCTGCCAGCATGCCTGTTCCTCTTGATTTCCGACCATTGCAGGGGCGGGTATGCACTGTTGCACTTGAGGCCGGGTGGGATGCCTCCCGCCTGCGCTCCTGCTGCCTTGCAGCATGTCCACCCGAGCGGCTGCCTGTGGGTTCCTTCGAGTTCTTGACGCCCAAGGGTGAACTCTTCCACGAGGTTGGAGACCAAGTTTTCGATTTCTTGGTTTCTGGGGGTGCAGTTGTTTCCGATGCCGATGCAGCTGCCCTTGTACAGCTCACTTGTGCGCCCTCAGCTAGCCCCGGCTTTCTTCTCAAAGGCTATGCTACAGGACCAGGACGGAATACACTCGTTAAGCTGCGAGAGCCCAGAGATTTTGCCCCCCACCTGGCCAAAGGCAGACGGGCACCTCTCCTGGTGCCACCGGGCGCAGCTGCAAGCAAGGACAGAGGAGTCCTTCGACCGACTGAGGTTGCGTTCATCAGGGCCGCCAGAGCCATGGTCTTTCCGCCGGATTTAGACGGCTCTGCCCTCTACTTCCCTCTGGAACGCATCATCGTTGAATTGCGGCCCAACATCGACTCTCAGGGGCGTGGCCGCTACACTGTCTTCGAGCCGGGAGCGAGGCCTGGAGTCAGAGCATGCGGCGCCGACTGGGTCCTGGGCGACTTCGCCGCGGATGCGGCTGGTTCCGCTACCTTTTCGGTGAGGGCAATCCAGTTTATTGCGAGGCCCATTGCTGGATACCCCATTCCCCAAGTCATCCTTTCTCCAGCCTCTGCTCCTGTTAACCATTTCGCAATCTTTTTCGATCTTCGTTTCCCACCTGCTCGAGGTTGTCACGGCGAGCGTGCCACCGGTGCTCTCTTTACAGGAACTAGAGCCCTACGTTGCAGCGGGAGCCCCCATACCAAGCCTCATGCGATTCAGACAGGGCCCGCCTTTGGCTCTCATTGATTCGGCTGGGCAGCGTCATTTGGCCATTTCGGCGCCACTGGCACAGTATGAGTGGGTGGTCTTGCAATTTGTGATGCAGGACCAGGACATTCCTGTGACTGTCGCCTGCAGTGAATCCGAAGCTGCGCGGCTCCGGGATCCAGGGCGCACCTTGCGCAACACTTTGCCCGCGCCTGAGCAGACTCGCCGCCGAGAAGCAGGGACTCGGCTGACTTGGAGGCAACTGAGATCTCTACTCAGAAACACCATTTCGCTTGGCCGCCTGCAGCCGTCTCCCTGGGACCGAAGCCGTTTTGGGCGACACTCAGGCCGCCGAAACCAGCACAGGAGGCTCGTCTTCCAACAGTCAGCCTTCGCTGGCCAGTTTTGCCTTGCACTGTCAAAGGAGCACGCTCCAAGGAGCTACCGACTTTTGTCAAGCGACTTGTTGAGCTCGGGATTGCACACCTCCCTCATGACGATGATCTCCCGTTGCACCTTTTCAGTGTTCCGACCGGCCTCAAAGGGTTAGTGGATTGCTGCCTCTTTGTAGCTAGGTCAAGCCCTGCGCGGAGCGCGGGCTGGACAGTCTTTGATAACTGGGCCGTTGTGAGGAACGGGAACAAAGCTGTCTTCAGGCCCATTACGGCCCCTTTTTGCGGCACTTTACCTGCAACTTGGCAGGACTGTTTGCCGCCTTGATTTGCGAGACAGACCATGCATGAGAGTGCACTCAGACGAGTTCAGCCAACCATTCCAAAAAACCCTAAACCCTAAATCCTAAACCCTAAACCCTAAGCCTGCTAGGCATTGAAGAAGGCTGCAGTGGGGAGTCTTGGGATGCTTAGGAGCTTGGATTCCGATTCAACATCAGGTGGGCTTGTCGGTTTCAGCATTTAGGGCTTTATGGCTATAAGTGATAGCCCTTATAATTGGAAGATAATGGACTTCAGACTTCTGACGACTGCTGCCAGCCAAACTCGAAAGACCTCTCAGGTTTCGCCTTTAAATGTTTAGGGTTTGTAGGCCTGCGAACCCGTCAAAAGCGCCCCATCCCTGAAATAAAGGGTCCTGAACACTTGAAGATGTCATTCCATCGGATTCCCGATGACCGGAACACCCTTGGAGGAATCCTAGAAGTCCGAACCGAAGGCGCTGTGGACCGAACCCTAAACCCTACCCGAAGGCCCCAAAGTAGTTCCTTTTTCGGGGTTCATATTTAGAATCCTATAAGGCAATCCCAAAAGGGAACTACTATGGGGCCTCTGGGTACACCCTGAACCGTAAACCGCTGAGATGGTTGATCCGGGCCGCGTTTGCTCGGAGGCTCAGGGATGGAGCCAGGGCCAGCAATGCTAAAGCCTGCACTTGGGGGGTCGGGGGACTTAGTAAGGGCTCCTTTAAAGGGGATTTTAAGGGTTCCTTTAAAGGGCTCTATAAGAGTAGTTTTGGGGTTTAGGGTTTAGGGGTCGGGGGACTTAGTAAGTAGTTAGTAAGTAGACTTATAAGTACCCTAAAAGGGACCCTAACTGGGGTTATGGTACTTATAAGTCCCTAAAATGACCAGTTACTAAGTCCCCCGACCCTCCAAGCAAGAGGCTCATCGCTTCAGGGTTATAAGACTTGCCTCAAGGCCTTAAGGGTCCAAGTACCCATAGGCCCCAAAAGTAGGTAAAATAAAGCCTTTTCTAGGTTTTGGGCCATTGTTTTACCTACTTTTTGGGGGCCTTGGCGGCCTTGGTAGTCCCTATTTATGGCTATTGGTACCCCAAAAAACAACAGAGTCAAAAAAAGGAATACTTGGACCCTTAGGGTTAGGCGTTTTGTGACAGAACGTTCTTGTGTGGACTCTATTTCATCTGCGCTTCAGGCAGGCTACCTTGCTTTGCGATGTCTCGCAATTTTGGGAATCGGGGTGTAGGATGGCTGAAACGTCAGGGTTACGGCAACCTAGCGTAGCCAAGGTACCTAAAGCAAGCGCATGTGCAATTTTCTAGGGTCATAACCACTTGTTGAAGGTACATCGGTTATACTCCATGGAGAGCTTTGGGGTTTTACGAGGCTAAGGCAGCTTCGTGCTCATGCAGCTGCATGCCATGCTCAGTAACCTTGGAATAAAAAGGGCTCCCTTTTTGGTATTGGGTACCTTTTTATGGACCCGAGGACTACACAAAGGGAATAAGGGTACTTGCTCTGGCACGACCATAGGGTTTAGGGCTTAGGGTTTACATGTCAAAAAGCCCGCGGTGCTTGTGCGAATTGGGATCGGGTTCTATCTTATTTCTGACGGCAGTTGTTAACTTAACCCTAACCAACACAAATCCACAACCCAAGCCCTCAGACCCAAATCCGACATGCCGAATGAAACAAAGCAAAACTCCCTTAGCCTGCCAAACTCTACTTTTTTGCAAGTCCTTATTGCAATAAAGCATAATAGTGAATTTATGGGGAACCTACAAAAAGTAGGTTTTTGCGGGTTAAGGTCCAAACCCCTGGACAAGCAGACGCGTCCTGCTGCCACTCCGCACCCTTCTCGCAAGCGCTCACCGCCGCGCTCAGTAGGATGACGTCAGGATGCAGAGACTCCTCCTGAGGGATATGGCAAAGGAGGGGAGGGGGTGTATGGCGACTCTCATGACTTAGGAGGAATCACCGTTTCTTGCATCCTCAAAACTCGAATAGATCATCAAACTCAAGGGAAATCTGTAATAGTTTGTTATAGTCAAGGGCTCCGGGTTTAAGACTTTGCAATGCCCAGACTGATGAGCCGCTCAGGGTTCCGTGTGTCGGGTTGATTTTGTCTGGTCTTTTGGGGGTTGCAAGATGAGAAGCTTGGGAGATACAATTCAAAGCTACTTGCATGCAATACCCTGACAGGGATGGCGATTTAGGGTTCACAACAGTTTTTCTGGCTGTGGGTCGCTCTTGTGGCTTCGCGGAATGCAAGCTGCTTTTGGGTAGTCGGGGATCGTGGCGCAAATATCTGGGGTGTAGCGAAAGACCGAACCTCCGCGACTTAGCTTCAAACTCGGAAACGAACCCAAAGCCAAAGCGACTGCTTTGCAGCTTCTTGTCAGGATGACTTCTGCGGTGGTGAGGGATGTGCAGTAAGGAAAGTTGTGCAATCAACAATCACGAACTACCACTACGGTCCAGTCTTGTACAACCCGAGTTCCCAAAACCTGAAAGGTCCGTAATCATGCCTCCTTTTTAAGCCCCGCAGCCAGTAGACAGCAAACCTAAACGCCCTCGGACTTACCTCCCCAACCCCTATCTGCCCCCCCCGCCCACCACCCACACGTGCACCAAAATCACCCGATGAGTGGCACCTGGGGGCGTGCACGAAAATGCAATGCAACCCACCTCCGCAACTTCTGGGCCTATCCTAGTTCGGGGCCCCAAACCCTAAACCAAAAAAACCCTAAACCCTGAACTCCAAACCCTGATCAACTAAAAAACCTAACCCTGAACTCCTGATCCCTAAACCGTCAACCCGTAAACCCCTAAAACCCTAAAACCCCAAAACCCCAAACCCTAAAGCCCCAAAACCCCGAACTCCTGAGCTGCTCTCAGCAACTCAGAGGCCGCTTGCCATCTTCCGGCCTTCTCACAGGCACTGACCTGCACTGCTTTGAAGGCTCCAAATAGCCCGCAAAGGGTCCAAAGTACCTTTATGGTAGAATGTAGGGTTCCTATATTAGGAATTACTATTATGATTTGGGGAAGTATCCCCCATAGCATTGCCCCGAAGGCTCCAAACTTGGGGGGGTCGGGGGACTTAGTAAGGGCTCCTTTAAAGGGGATTCTAAGGGTTCCTTTGAAGGGCTCTATAAGGGTAGTATAGGGTTTAGGGTTTAGGGGTCGGGGGACTTAGCAAGTAGTTAGTAAGTAGACTTATCAGTACCCTAAAAGGGACCCTAATTGGGGTTATGGTACTTATAAGTCCCTAAAATAACCAGTTGCTAAGTCCCCCCCCTAAACTCTATACCCTATTAGCCCCAAACCCCAAAGTAGGTACTCTTTACATACCTGGAGTCTTAGGGTTGGGCCGGTGAAACGGCTTTTCGGGCGTTGGGGTTCGGCATTTGAAAACCTACGACTTGTTTTTTTTTGGGGGGTTCTGATGGATCTATGTAGGGTAACGGGCTTACTAGTTCAGGTTTAGGATTCGAGGATTCGTAGGGTTCAGGGAATGGTGTTGGATTCCGTCGCTGTGGTTGGCCACAGGGACCTCCATTGTGACCCCTCTGCTATGGCTATATGACGACTGTTCTTAAATCCCATTCTTCCACGTTATCAGTGTTGTTCTTGTCACTATCACGCCTCAACACTTCGTTTTGTCAGATCACCTTTGCTGCTATCGTTCTTAATCCCCTAATTGAAACACGCCTTAGGCCTCTGGATATTGTACTGCTGGCAGGTTTCTTGGCATCTTGCTTGCTGTCTTAACTACCACCGCTTTGGCTTTCGGGCCCCTAAACCCTAAACCCTAAACCCTAAACCCTAAACCCTAAACCCTAAACCCTAAACCCTAAACCTTTCCGCAAGCGAAGTTTAGATGTAGTGCTCGGTGTTTAATGGACCCTAAACCCTAACTCAGGGTTGAGGGGGTATAGGCTCGGCGCCTTCATGGCTGAAGCTGGATAAAGCTGTAAACATCAGCAAACAGAATACAAGATAGCATGATTATAGTAGTAATAGTAGTAATAGTAGTAACAATAATAATGGTAGTGATAGTAGTAATATGATAAAATATCATATGATGTTTGCACAGCAGAGATGGACACTGACCGCTTCATGCAATTGTCGGCTGTGCAAATCTTCGCTTCGGACCGCTTCATGGACTGAGGACTGCTTAATTTAAACAATGAAACGGGCTCCGAGTGAATCTCGAACCGTAGCATCTAAAAAGCAAACTCCTGCGCTCACTCCTACAGCCATCAAAAGCCGACATGAACTGCATCCGAAGCTACACACGCGCTGCAGGTGACGAGATTTCCACGGAGACGTCCATCCTGCGCCTTCAGCACAAAATTACGGGGTTCAGGGCCGTTTCGGGCCTAGGCAGCTGGCAGGAGCAATATTCTAACTACTGTGTGAAGCGATGTTCCAAGTTTGTTTGAAGTCTTGTCTCTTGCTCCCGTATTGCAATGTAGTTCAACGGCATCATGTCATGGTGGGAATACATACATCTTGGTGACTCAGGTGGCGAAGAAGCGTGCTCAGAGCGTGTCATAGGGGCCTGAACAAACAATAGGCCTTTCTTGAGGGGATATATGCAGTACAGAACCCTCAGAAATGTTGAGGTAATTACCCAGGCTGCTATATCTATGTATATATATATATATATATATATATATATATGGGTTTGGCTTGGTTGCTCCATTCAGGCTCAAGGTCCAAGGGTTTAATTGCCTCAAAGGCACGCTCAAGAAAGGATCCCAACTAAAGCGCTTCAGGGGTACTGTATGCAATAAGCCCAAAGGGTCCAAGTATCATTCTGGTGTATACTTATAGGGTACTTTGGGGGTCTAAGTGTATACCATAATGATACTTGGACCCTTTGGGAAGTATGTATCTTGGGACTGTCTCGCACTACATCAGGTTTCGCTCATTCTCTGTGTAGGCGTTTCGTCGAAAAGCTACTCTTTGGTACCCCATTGCACAACAGCAAAGGAACCACTACCCATCAAACCAGTTCGCAGGATAGAAGTGGCTAGACCTGGTCCCATGACTGATTCAGATCCTATCAATAGCAAACCCAACGGAACTACGATGGAAAGAGTGGGTAATTACTGACTCTGACCAGGCAATTTAATTACTACTTACGTTACAAGTATCTCAGACAACCTGGACTTCAGAGTCACCCTACCTGTACAACCTTATAGGTAGAGCTCCAGCTCTCCCTGATTGATTCCCGATAGGGTTTAGCATTGAAGGCGTATAGGCCTCTGGGGAGTTCATATAGGAACCGGATAAAGAAACCTTGAGTCTTTATTAGGGCTCCTTATAACTCCTTATATGGAAACTAATAATTTTGGGGTTAAGGGACCCGGGTTTCTTAATCAGGTGCCTACATGATTTCCCACTTTAACATCCACTCGAAGCAATGCAAGAAACAGGCCTCGCGCAGCAACTGAAGCGCCTGCTGCCACTTTTCGGCCTCGCAACTTGGGGCCCAAAAGGGACCCTAGTTGGGGTTATGGCACTTAAAAGTCCCTAAAGAAACCAGTTACTAAGTCGCCGGACCCTCCAAGAAGGGCGTTCGAGTGGATGCTTGCCGTCAGCGTGACAAGGGGTGATCGGCTCAGGACTATTAGGTTTGAGGGCTTGTGTACAAAATCAACATAAGAAGACGCCAACCGAAGCAGAAGCAAACACACCTACACAGCTACAGTGACAGACTTCACGACTTTGGCATTGATGCTTCGCATCTGGCGCATGTCTTGATACTTTCAGTCCGAGACGTGCGCCAGCTACACAGCCTCATCTCCCTTACAAGTAGGCACCGACCCAAAAGGACCAAACTCACTTTGCCCAGCAACTTCCGGAACTTGCAGTCCCAACGGAGCCTTGCCGTAGGCGGTAATCGCGGAGCCATAGGTGATGATGGTCCCTGTGTTGGACGTACATAGTTACCACGAAAAGCGACACTGTGGCAACTACAAGTGCTGATGCGTCCAATCACCATCACAATAATGGCACCACCGTAACACTATGCACATATCAACACACACGAACGAAAGTTGAATTTGAATACCAGGCAAGCAGACAAACGACAGCTTGACTATGCACAGCCTGTATAATCATAAAACACTGACAGCCAAACATGTTCCGAAAGGAACCATCAGATGGAAAAGCAAACGAATCACCAACGACGGTATCGACACAAACAGTGCTGCCATGACTTCACGGAAGAACTTGACTGATGTTTTACCTCACCAGTTGCTTCCTTGCTTCAAGGCACTTTCAGTTAAGCAGCAGTTGGGAATATAGGGGCCTTAATAGTTAGAATATCGCATTGAGGCATATTATACTTTAATTTATCGTTGCAATACGGAAACCCTAAACCCCAAAAAACTATCGAACATCAGACAAAGCCCCTATCGCAGATCAAAGACGTCTATACTGAACTTAGAACCCCAGCAAAAATTATAATTTTAGCGGTTTCTTAGGGATTATAAAAACCAAAATTAAAAAAACAAAACATCTCTAAGTACCCCTAAGCCAACTCTGAGTCTCCTCGAAGGTCTCTCTGAGTGGCATCTTCCAGTAAGACCAGAGCCATCTCCCATTCCTTGCAGCGTACTTGGGGGTCGGGGGACTTAGTAAGTAGCTAGTAAGTAGACTTATTAAGTATCCTAAAAGGGACCCTAGTTGGGGCTATGGTACAGATAAGTCCCTAAAATAACCAGTTACTAAGTCCCCCGACCCTCCAAGTAGGGCCCTAAACGGGGCCTAGGGGTCCCTTCAAGATTTCAATGTTGTTGAATAGGGGTGTGCAGGGTGTTCAGTTATAAAGCTTGTATCGGGTTTCATAGGACTTTGCAGGAGCTTCATGGTTTCTGATGAGCTTCTTTATTATTAGATAGTTTTAAGAGTTTGGTGTTGACACTTCCGGTGTCCAACAAGAGTGGGTTTTCAGGAGTCAGAGTCAGAGCTGTCATGATGACATGATTATCGCACGGTAGAAGAAGCAGGTACCACTGTGATAACCGTGACAATGGTGATAATTGCGATGATGGCACTGATAGGGATGGTGATGCTGCCTCGACGCTCGGCCTTGCCAAACCCCAAAACACGAAACGGACGCCAAACTGGAAGTTCGAGCAAGGCCCAAGTGACCAGCCGAGGCTTTCTCTCATTTGCCTCCGAGAGCCCCAGCCCTGCTGTAGGGGCCTTAACCTACAACAATTTTGGGGTTATTACATTTATAGTATAATGGGCCCAGAAGCCCTATTCTAATTATTAAAGCCTTATATTAATGTCCAACGGAGTTTCCCTTTTTCTCGACCAGCCACTCCTACGGTTATGAGCCTATAACTATGGAGCAACCAGGTGCAGCCCCCGCACCCCCCTCGCTCCGGGCACCCAAATGCACAACCACCCACTCTCTATCTCTCTATCTCTCTGTCTCAACCAAAAGATCTTCTGAGACAAGCAGTGAAATGAATCCCCACACAGCAACCAAAGACAACGTCTCATCCTATCTATGTTGGAAAACTTGGAATTCACCGCTGCGGGTTTCTGGCGGTGGGCAGGAGGGGATTTCGGGTTATATAGTCCGAGGATATAGGGTTCTGTGATGCAGGCATTCAGCTTGAGGTAGGGATGCGTCGAGGCGAGCTATGGGAAGTCTAGAACCACTGGGATGGTGGTCATGATAACGCCCTTCGAACTAGTCGAGCTTGACAAGAAGCTGTACAAACGCACAAAACTCACACGACCTGAATCCAAAATCCATCCAGACCTGCTAGATGGTCTGCACAGAAACTCGCCGATACCGGGTCTAACAAACACGCTATACCTGGTGGGAGTGGAGGAAATAGCAGTGTATTGTAGCTAGAGATCAGCGGCTAGTCTTGGATTCATGTGTGCATCCTCTAACGAGCACCACGCCGGAGTTTTCGGATGTCAGCTGAAGTAGGTCCACACAAGGTCGCCTACACCATGTGATGTGCAGTTTCTGATAGTCCTCTCTGGTCTGAAACTGCTAGCAAGTCCATTTTGAATGCAGGCGTCGCAAGCGGCGATGGTTGAGTTGAAGGATATGATGTCTGGTTGCAGGTCCTCAGCAGACACAGAGTGTTACAAGGCTTGAGCGGGCTACAAAATCGACATAGGCACTGCTACAGGGGCATTTATAATCATCAGTACTATTCTAGGGGCTCCTTATGGCCTTGTATTTAAAGCCCCTGTATTATGTGGTTTGAGACTGCCTTCTGAAGAGGCCTGAGCTTTGCTTGAGCCTTCACGGCCGTAGGGCTCGAGGCAGGAAAGGTCACTCCTAAAGGAAGGCCGCCAGTCCCTTCCTGGTGAGCGGCAACAGGGAGTCTACTAAGCTGGGTTTAAGTTTGGGGCCGAGGGTGTCACACAGTCTTGGCTTCATAATAAAAGTTAAAGCTGGAACAAAGACTTTGGTGATATGTTCGTGTCTACTTGTAAACAGAAGTGTAAGGATGAGGTAGACCGCAAACGCTCAGTATTGAATCCAACAGGGCCTTGGTTAAAGGTACTTTGGAATGTCATGGTAGTCGCCCTATCTAAAGCTGCGATGACGGTTCCCCTACACCTCAATCACTGAACCCCTGAATCTTAATCCCAAAGGCCTGAACGAATGGATGACACCAGAAGTAGATTCATTGCAACACGCAGCAACAACCCAAATCCTGGGTTGATGCTAGGGAATGTAGGTTAAAATGTCATAACTCGGAAACTATACGATTGCCTGTAGATCTCTGCAAACATGAACCTTTATGGTATCTTGAAGTAAAGATACCTTTTATTATAATTGCTACGTTATCTTAAACCAAGTTCCTGAACAAGACGCCAGAATATCAAAGTCTTCCGGGGGTAATCTGCATCCCAAGCTTGCCCCACTTAAACGGTTGACCATGTAGGCATGCCTAAACCCGAAACGCTCAATCTGAACCTGAAGCAGTAGGTATTCAGGCTTACTTTATATTACCCTGAACCCTGAGCCATTTCAGACCCAGCCCTGGCTCACTAGTTCCCCCCCCCCCCCCCCGGTCCCCAAACAAGCACGGCGGTCCCCTGCAGTATGGCGGGGTGAAGGTTTTCGGCATAGGTTTAGGGTGTAGGATACAGGGTTTAAGCTTAGGCTTAGGATTATTCTCTTGAGGAAGACGACAGCGACTAACATAGGTGCCTTAATAATTAGAGTAGGGTTTTGGGGCCCATTCTACTATTATTGCAACCAGGAAACCCCCAAAAAAGTGTAGGTAATTCCTAATGCCCTCGTACTAAATCCTTATACTAGCCCTTATAGTAATTATTGCAACCATGAACCTCTACGTAGATTTTCAAGATTGCCCCCCGAGCAGCCTCCCGCTGCATTTCCTCGAGCAGATGGAGGGTCTTCGTCCACTCCTGCACCCAGAGCTCTAGACGCTAGAACCGTTGTTTTTTATGTAGTAGCAATAATAATTAGAAAAGGGTTTTGGGGCCTAGTATACTATACTCATCATATATAAGGAACTCCCAAAATAGTATTGGGAGTCATTTAGCTCGCTATAATACTTCTTGAGAGAACAGGAAACTGACAATTTGGAGCTCCCGGAGACTCCAATACCTCTTAATTAAGGAATAGTCTTTAAATCGTATTATTAGGGATCCCTACTATAATCTAGGTTTTTTCCTTAATTAAGGGATATTGGAGTCTCTGGGCAGGGGCCGAACGGGAATTCGGGAACTTGGAGGACTGGAGCCTTCGGCTGATGAATAGGGGCCTGAGGCTGTGCTCTGGGATCCTTTAAGGATTCCCCATAATAGGGTTCCTTTAAGGGCTCCTTTAAGGAATCTATAGGGTTTAAGGGTCCATGTGCTCAAATAGTATCTTTAGGCCCGATGTACCTATATAGGGAGTACAATAAAGCCAAAATATGTACTATTTGGGCCCTTTGGGCACATGGACCCTCAGGGGATGTTACTAATGTCCCGGGTCGATGCGCGTCCTATGCACAGACAAAGCCAGTGACGGCAACAGGCCAAATGATGGCGAAATGTTCAAGCTTCCAGAAATCGCAAACCCTACAACCGATGATGCGCTGGTTTAAGGGAGCGACCGGGATGTGACACAGCCCAATGATTCTTTGGAGCGGCTTCTTAGTCAACCCACTTATGTCTTATGTCAATGAAGGTGATAATGGCAACATTCCAAAATAGTCAGAATACTACCCCAGGGCTCCGGTTACCGAAAAAAATAGTAGGTTGCTGCCCAGGGAGTATGTAACCCAGTAACCCATTCCTCCCAAGGGCACTCCTCGCTCTTGGCGCAGGCACTCAGCGCTGTATTGTAGGTGATTAGGTTGCCTTCCGGTCGGAGAATGGATATAAGGGGCTTAATTATGAGGTTTTGAGACGTGCGTTTGAAGCCTTGTTTGCCATGGTAGGCAGGTCAATCTCGTATTATGCAGTCACGAGGACATGATCAGCCTTCACCCGCAAGCTGCACATGAACCGCGAAACCTTCAAGCACTCCAAATCATCGAACACTACGAATGGTAGGGATATTGACAAGAGAAACTTGTCCACTTCACGATCAGCTACTGCCAGGTCGGCTGTTTAATTTGCAGGGCTCACAGTCCCAAATTCATTACCAAGGTTGCGTTGGTTTAGGGTTTAGGGATCCTAAGGTCTCTAGGGTTTGGGGGTCTTATAATGAGCGTTACATGGGTTTCGAAGGACCAAACCCCCCTAAACCCAGGACATCATCCTCTGCCCTGAGCCCTGAGCTCGAAACTCCCAGACCCTAATATGGGAGTTTCCAATATTGAGGGTACCTTATTTGGGGGTCCTTATAGTAAGGATCCTACTATTTAGGCTGCTATATTAGGGTCCCCTATTTTCGGAAACTCCCATATAGGGCATTAATGTTAGAATAGGATGTTGGGGCCCATTATACTAGAACGATAAAAAGGAACCCCCCAAAATAGTATAGGTAGTGATTAGGCCCCTACGTGTGACTACATCCTTCTCTTTCTCGCTCCCTCGGTTTGTCTTGAAGTCTCGAAAAAGGTACCCCAATATGCACTGATGCCTTCGGCTTCCCTTCCAGTGGGCAGCACAGGAGGAATGCACCTGTGTGGCCTGGGCCTTGTATATGCATACAGTATACTGTTTTGGGGTTTCTTTATTATACTTATAGTAACGGGCCCTAAAACCCTATTCTGATTACTACGTCTCCTAGTCTTTATCGAAGCCGGTCTAAACCAATCGAACAAGAGCGATGCTGGTCAATACCTGGCGCCCACAATGACGTTGCGTTATGCAGGCCTATGCATCCGCATGGTCAAAAATCACTGCATCACACAGCAGAGCTATGCATACTCATATGGACATACAGACCGAGGAATATCATACACCTGACAAAAGAGGTGATAGCACTTGTAGACGGCTCGGTCCCGCTGCCCGAATGCCTTGAGCACCGTAGCGGGCTTGCGAAAAAGGATTTAGGACACAGATAAACTTGACCACACATGTTAGATTTGGGCATGTGAAGCAACGCAATCAAGAGGCTGCGCGCCTTGCAGTGCTGTCACTCGGAGGTCCTGCCATGTCAAACCCCCAGTATCCTAAGTCCTAGAGGTGTCTTGCCACTCTTTGTTGGGCTTTGCTCCTACCGGCTGTGCAACATACATAACAATATGTAATGTAGGCATGTGTACATACATACATATATATATAATATGTGCGCACACACCATATGTATGTGACATATACATATATATATATATATATATATATAGATATATACACACATACGTATATGCAATATGCTCACTATGCTTGTTACAGTTGTGATACATCATGTATGTGTGTGTATATATTTTTAACTGTCTGTATATATACATATATATATATATATAGAGAGAGAGAGAGAGAGAGAGAGAGAGAGAGGCAGATCATCACTTCTCACCTGTAGGCAAAATGAAGGCAAGTGTCAGACGTTCAGGGCCTAAAGCTCTGAGTGTCCTTCGCCTTCGCAACCCGAAAACCAAAACAAGGGCAAAAGGGTCTTACTGAGGTTCTTTTTTTAAGGGTATCGGACTTTCTGTCCGCAGAGGTCTGTCTTGCCTAGGAAGGTGTACCCTCAGGACGTCACAAAGATTGCCCAAGTTCTCCCCTTCTTTAGGAGCCTGGCATTGGTAGGGTTTCGGCTAGGGTAGAAACACTGAGTCAAAGCACCCCAACCGGCATCGATGTACATCTTGCGCATGCTCCTAGTAAGATCCTTGGCAACAGCTTGACACCTACTGAGCCACATACTGCATTGCTCTCCGAACTCCATAGCCAAAACTGTCAGATTGGCAACTAGGGTTACCTTCTTTTGGGGTCCTTATAATAAGGATCCTATGATTTAGAGTACTATAACAGCAGGTAGGGATCCTGAAAATCCTAAACCCTAAGTCCGAAGTCCCTACACGTACACGCTTTCGGCCCTGATCTCAGCCTCCACCAGCTGCAGCACCTGCGGCCACTGCGCCGCCCGCTCGCAAGCGCTGAGGCAGATACCAAACCTGGACGTAGGCTCGTGGGTTTGGGGTTTTGTGCTTATATACGGTTTTGACTTGAAAAAACCGCGGCTAGATTCACTGTTTATTCATTGTACGACCCGGCCTCTGACAAGTACGCTCAGCGTCATGGCCCTAAAAACATACTTAAACCCCCCCTTAGCTAAGCCCTAATTAACACCCAAAAGCACCAAACTCAATGCGGACGAGGTGCGCTACTACTGAGATCTCGGAGGACTGAGTGGCCATAGAAAGGAGGGCGACGAGAGCCTTCCGCATTTCCAGCTCGGAATTTGACTCGGAATGTGTTGCGACTTCGGGGGAGGCTGCCCTAAATCCCCCAAAGGCTCCATGTACCTTCGTAGTAGATACTTAAGCCTTGAAGGGGTCCCTATATAGGTACCTTTAAGGCCTAAGTATATACTATATGGGCGCATGGAGTCTTAGGGTCCTAAACCCCGATTTAGGTGAGCCTTTCATAGTCGATGAGTTCTCTGAGGGAGCCAAAGAGGGTCCAAAAACTTCGGGGCACTGACCTCGCAGGCACAGTTTGACTCGGCTTGGGGGCTGTCCATTCCCAGCAAGCCCAATACCCCTTAATAAGCGAATATACCTTAGGGTTCCTCAAAGGGTTCCTTAAAGGGATCCATAAGGGTTCGATTAAGGGAATTAGGGGGGATAAAGGATTATACCTCAAATCATAGGGGGCTTCATCCTATGATTTAAGGTATAATCCTTAATTTAGGGGTATTGGGATCTCTTGGTTCGGATGACAACGGCTAACGTCTTGGCCCAACGGAGTTCCTTTTTGAAGCTCATATCTAAATCCTATCATCTAAATAAGCTAATCCCAAAAAGGAACTACTATGGAGCCTCTAGGTAATAATTGGAATTTGGGGTTTCCCTACTAAAAAAATATAGCGAAATATACTCCAAAACCGTATTTTAACGATTAAGGCCACGCACGGGGTGAATGCCTATAAGTTCCCAGTGCTCTGCAAGGAGGACTTGATATTCTTGTAAGGAGCTGGCAGCTTTCTACTTCAGTCACACATGGCAGATCAAACGCGCGACGGGCAAGGGAGCGCAAAAGAGGTCTGATGGTGAAGCTGCATAATGTAGGAATCTGAGTAAGAAACCCCCAATATAGTAATTAGGATTCATATAAGGAACCCTAACAACTAGACCCAAGAGTAACCCAGGCATAAAAAGGATGCCCTTTTTGGTTTAAAGGGGCTTATAAGGGAACCTGAACCCTCAAAAAAGGGAATAAGGGCCTACTCTAGGTCCTAGACAAAAAGACCCAAAGGTTCCCTTATCAGGTTCCTACATCAGCACAGCAGAGCATTTAAAGGACTAGACCGGCACCTCCTGCCAGGCATTCGCGCGCTGCATCTGACGTAGCGATACGTGGCAGCCTCCGTCGTGATGGCCGCCTGGTGACATGAGTAATGTAGGAACCTGATTAAGAAACATGAAGCCGTTGTTAGGGTTCCTGTAAAGGGGTCTATAAGGGTTCCTTTAATATAAAGGGTTCATAAGGGTACTATAATGTTGTGGGAACCTGAATGTTGTGGGAACCTGATTAAGAAAACTTGGGCCGTAATTAGGGTTCCTTATGTGAATCCTACTATTTTGGGGTTATAGACCTAGGGTCTCTTAATCAGGTTCCTACATTACATGGTTTGAGGAGCTGGTCGAATCACCACAAACACAAGCGACTTTCAGGCATTTGGAGATAGGGTTGGGGGCTTGCGAATCTCTGCGTCGGGATTTAAGACTCTAGAGTTTTGTGCCCTCAGATGTTTTACCTTAGCCTAGGGCCTACGGCTTCTCCCCAGATTCCCTTGGACCACTGAGCCCTAGCAACTGGCGTGCTCAGAACATGATCATGGCCACCGCAATATATACAACCTACACCCTGTTGTCCATTGTTGTAGTTGACAGACATCAAACCACTCAAGTAAGATGGATACCATGGTGGAGCATCGGGCTTGCGAAGTGTTGGATGTCCTGGATGCTAGATGAGTCCATATAACGATCTCACCATGATGCGAGGTATGAGTTCGGTTGTGCGGGTAGGGATCTTTAGAGTTCAGGGCTTGTATTCTACAGGGCTGGGGACTTCAGAATTGAGAGTGAGGTTTGATCATTCTGCTGTGTTCGTAAACCCTGAACCCAACTGAACCCAACACCTTTAACCCTGAAGTGAGACTGCAGTTCATGACGAAGCATCATTTGTTTCGACACATCGTTTAACAAAGGCTTTTTTTTTGAAGGTTCCATACCGGAAATGTGGGCCACCTTTCCAGAAACCCTAGACTCAGACCCCATTTTACACTGTGCATCTCAAACCCTAAACCCACAAGAGCCAACAAAACCCGACAGAATGCCTTTGGAGATGGAACAAGCCATGGCGATCTGATGCAGCTATCATGTCCATGGGCTGCGTCAGATGGAGTTGCGGCTTCAGGGGTTGGGGAGGGGGTTTGAGGATTCTACAGCACGTCTGCACAGAGTTGCTTTGCCGGTTTGGTCTTTAGCGTTTAGAGTTTAGGTCTTTCTGCAGGAGGGCAGTGGGTTTAGGGTGGGTTTGAGGGTCTGAGCCATCCGGGCGTTGTGTAGGTCGAGGCAATTGGGCTGTAGGGCTTACCCAAAGGCTCCATGTACCTTTATAGTAGATACTTAAGCCTTAAAGGGCTCCTTATATGGGCACTTTGAGGCCTAAGTATATGTTATATGGGCACATGGAGCTTTAGGGCTTAGGTATCAGGGATCAGCGTGTCAAGCACACGGGCCTTGTCACACACCCGAAGTCGGCTCAAGGATTCTTTATACTCTACCCTTCAGGACATAGGGATAATGATGCTCCAACTTTCGCTTCTGCAGAACGTCGAGCAGGCGTTTCTGGGTTGGCTTTTAAACACCCTGAAAATATTCATATATAGGGTTCCTTATAAATTTCAAACAAGAAAAATTAAACAAAAGTCCCAAAATCCAACCTGACCAGGGCTTCAAGAAGCCGTAGGACACCAAACCCATCAAATGCAAACCAGCACTCAAAACCCTGAATATATATAGAGAGCAACACTCAAAACTCAAAACCCTGAATATGTAGATAGCAACATAGATAGATAGATAGACGGATCGATCGATCGGTCGATAGATATGTACAGTAGATAGTAGATCGATACCTGAATGGATGGCTAACTGGCTGGGTGGGCGGGTGGGCGGGTGGGCGGCTGAGTGGGTGGATGGACGGAGGGTGTTCGGACGGGCGGACGGATGGATGGTACGGGTAGATAGACCAGCAGGTAGCTAGAGAAAGAAAGAACAATAGAACGATGCATAGATGTGCGTTTGTGCTTTGCGGGGATAAAACAAAGCCCAAGGGCAATACTTCCAAAGCAGAAAAAGGAACTCCCACACCCGGAACCCCTAATCCAGCCCCATAAGACGACTTCTTGTTGTGACCGCCTGAAGTGCACGATCCATGGACTGGCGAGAAGGATCCTTAATGGTGATGTATTGCACACCACTTCGAAACATAAGATGCCAAAAAACTGTAAAATACCTTAACAACACCACATCTCCTCAGGACGCATGTAGAACCATAAACCCTAAACCGTAGAACCTTTACAGCCTTTACAGGACCCTGCTGCTGGAAGCCGATAAACGCCCTAAATGCCCTAATCTAGTGGCCTTAAGAATTAGAATAGGGCTTTGGGCCCCATTATACTATAATGGTAGCAAGGAACTCCCGAAATAGTGGAGGTGACTATTACATAAGGCCCCTGTAGTAAATCCTTATAAGAGCCCTTATAGGCATCCTCTTGGACCCCTTTAAAATGAACCCTTGAAGGAACTCAATTACTAGACTCCTATTATAAGGCCCTGTAGTAAAGCTGCACCCGCTCCGGGGTCCAGGCTGCCTCAAGAATTGGCTCGGGATCCTTCAAGCAGGGTTTAGGGGTTACTGTGGGGACTTTGAGGTTTAGGGTTCCTTTAAGGGTTCCTTAAGGGTTGAATAAGGATTTAAGGAGTTTAGGGTTTAGGGTTTGGTGTCTAGGGGCTTAGGGTTGTGACTTTGTTCATCTTGAGAACGGCAGAGGTTAGGCTTTATGCGGGAGGATTTAGAGTTTAGGGCTTAGGGTTTAGGGTTTATAGCAAGGAGTTTAGGGTTTAGGGTGCAATCGCAAGTACTTGTATACGGTTTCGGGGTATAGGCATTGTTTAGTGAGCTTGGGGTTTACCGGGTTTACGGTGTACAGCTACACGGCTTAAGGGTCCAAAGTTTGGCTCTACAGGTTATGTTCACGAGACCGCTCCTTTTGTGACTTGTGTTCGGGGGTTGACGGGACAGGGAGTATTGCTGTCACTGTTATTGCTAATATTCCTACGAAGCTCCATATGTTGACCGCTTCTTCAGGGTTTAGAGTGTAGGGCTTAGGGTTTAAGGTTCAGGGCTTAGGGTTTGGGGTTTAGGGCTATAGGGCTATAGGGTTTGGGAAAATGGCCACAGCTGTAGCAGACCCTCACGAAGAATGCGCACGACTGGGGCGATGGGAAACGGCAGCCTCAGTGCGACCTGCTTGTCACTGGAACCTTGAACATCGCCTGCGTTGGAGCTGCAGCAAATCCACTTGCCCAGAGAACCCAATACCCCTTAATTAAGGAATAGACTTTAAATAATGGGGGGCTTTAAAATTCTGATTCCTCAATTAAGGGGTATTGCGATCTCTGGGTGCTGTTGCTCTAACAGCCTGGCGTGAGCTACACACTGGACACGGCCACCACGGCCGACGGCTTAGGAAGGGCTGAGGCTAGTGGACTTGCTGCGGGTGTCTGCTGCATCTGGATGGTGCCGACCGCTAACCGCCAACCTCTTTTCATCTCGCGACGTCTCTTTCTGCGCACCGCGCTCCAGTTAATGGTTCATCATCTCTTACCTATTGTCTCTGGCTACTGTAAGACTATGCAGCCGTGTTGGAGAAGCCCCGAGAACGGTGATAAGACCTCGGCGAGGAAAACATCAATCTTGCAGCAATGAAAATGCAAATCAAACAGCAAACCCTGCAAGCATTGTGCTGCAAAAGTTGTGCCCCTTGGTTAGCATCTGAGCTGAGTGCTGTCGCCAACCTTCCAATACACTATGAATCCAGGCACCAATTTCTCAAGACGGCCTCAATGGTTGAAGTTTAGGTTTTCTTGGGAACCGAGGCTCCATTTACCCAGTCTACGACATAAGTATGGAGCATAAAGCACCAGGGGCTTACGGAATTGAGATTCTGCGTTACCCTGGCAGAGCCCAAAGACCCATCGCGCCTCTTGCTCTTTGTCACCTTCACATTGGCAAGGCGGGGTAAGGTCGGAGCCTTTATCAATGCAACAACCTAACACCTCAACCCCGGCTAAAATCCCTACGCACTCAGTTCTTTGAGCCCTAAACCCCAAGCCTCCACCCTAACACCATGTCAGACAAGGTGAAAGACTGGTAACGGTTGATGATATAAATCCTGCATAACCCGTAATAAGGAATATACCAGAATTCCCATAGTGTACTAGCGCCCTTAAGGTAATGCAGGATTTTTATCATCAGCCGTAAGAGAGATATCAAAACCACGAAAGCCCCACGAGCTTCAGCCATGGCCTTGTATTCAATGGTTCACCGAGTGCAGGACTTAAACTAGGGGCACCTAGGGGTGTTACTAAGTGTAAGACGTATATTTGTAAAAAATAATATAGAGGGTTTGGGGAGCCTGATTAACTAGGATAGAATATAGACTTGGGTATGACACTACAGTATGGGTGAGTTAGGAGGGACTGTATAGTCTATGCAGGGACTTCCCGAAACCCAAACACAAACTCTGCATCGATCCCAGACTCCTAAATAAAGTCCGACACACAGGATTACGACAGCCCCAAGACTGCAAGTATACAAAAAATACCTACTCTAGCTTTGGGGTCGAAAGTCTATAAATAGCGCCTACTTCGAGCAATCTGGAGTCTTCGGATACGGTTATTCAAGCTTTTCTTGGATCCTTGTAAAGCTATCGTGCCCGCACCCGAAGCTCCAAACCAAATTCCAAGCCCCAAGCCGAAACAACTCGGCACGGCACGCGGTGTAGGGCTTATGTGGTGAAGACTTGGCCAGCAGCCCCAAAACAGCCAGACAAGAATGGAAGGCTTTTGGGCTGCAGGCAGGCCCTTAAACCCTCAACCCCTAAACCCTAAACCCCTAAACCCCTGAACCCCTAAAACCCTGAACCCCTGAACCCCTAAACCCCTGAACCCTCGAACCCCTAAACCCCTCAACCCCTACACCCCTGAACCCCTAAACCCCTCACAACCCCTAAACCCCCCTCAACCCCTAAACCCGAAACCCTAAACCTTAAACCCCTCAAACCCCTCTACCCTCAAGGACTCCAGGCCTCCTTTCTTTCGTTGGCTCCTGTCGGCCTTTAACTTCAGCGTCTTCTCCTCCCGAAGTTGGGAATTCAGAGGCACAGAGCCACCCGGGGAGTTGCTTAGGAGTTTAGGTTTTTTTTTTAAAAAAAAGGGGTTTAGGGCTTAGGATTTCGGGTTTATATAGCCACAGAGGCGTTTCTTAGGGTCTAGAATGTTTGGGGTCTGGGGTGGTTTGACTACCGTTGGCCCGAAAAGCCAAGGGACTCATTCTCTCGAAACCGGATCGCTTCTGAACCACCTATAGTCTCCATTGTAGTTCCTTTTTTTGGTTAACCAAAATCTCTATTATAGGGTCCTAACCATAAAATTGGATAACCAAAAAAGGAACTACAATGGAGACTATAGGCAGCCACTTGTAACTGCCCGTGTGCCTCCGAGCAATCAGAGTTGCAGTCTTGAAGACGGTTTGACGTCCGAGAGCAACGTGCCGAAAGCACGACTATGACGACATCGAACGTTATAGATTGACTTCCGAAGCTCAGCAGCGTTCCCCCAAAACCCTAAACCCTAAAACCCCAAAATGGCTCGCATAAACAGGTCCAGCGGTCCTTTCGCCGACGGCGAAAATCATCGGCCTGGTCGTGGTTCATCGTTTCTAGACTTTTTGCTTCGAGCGTTTAGGGCTTCGGGTGAGAACCTCTGCTCCCAGGACCAAAGTAAGGGGGCTGTTGCCCCAGTTTTTCCCTAATCAGCATCAGTGTCATGGCCAAGAACAACTTAAACCCTAAACCCTAACCCCATGACCCTTCACAGGTTAACTAACGACGATATTAAGGTGAGGGCTTACAGACTATCAATTTTCGGCGGTGTCGCCATCTTAGTCAACAATACAGGTCTTACGAGCAGTAGGGGGTCAGGCCATTCTGACACTAGATAGAGGTAGCACGGCATTTGCGTTGCGCACCTCGCAGAGGTGGCAGAAGGTGCAGGCAGCGCCTTTGCTACAG